TGCTACCGTACAGATGATAGTGGTGCTACCGTACAAATGATAGTGGTGCTACCGTACAGATGATAGTGATGCTACCGTGCAGATGATAGTGATGCTACCGTGCAGATGATAGTGATGCTACCGTGCAGATGATAGTGATGCTACCGTACAGATGATAGTGATGCTACCGTGCAGATGATAGTGATGCTACCGTGCAGGTTGGTGACGGTAACGCTGACCACGCGTACTGGGGTCGTCCTGAAGACATGACCATGGCACGACCCTCCTGGAAGATCGACACCAACGCCCCTGGTGGGTGGTTGTTCTGGTACCTAGCATGGTAGCTGCAATGCTGATCATGTAATGTATTAACGGGATATTGTCTTTAGAGTAGTGACGTAATATTGTTACTAGTATAGTGACGTGGTATTGTCTCTAGTGTAGTGTCGTAATATTGTTACTAGTATAGTGACGTGGTATTGTCTCTAGTGTAGTGTCGTAATATTCTTACTAGTATAGTGACGTGGTATTGTCACTAGTGTAGTCAGGTTGTATCATAACTAGGGCATTGATGTGGTAGTGACTAGTATGGTGACTCGGTAATGAGGCTACAGTAGTGATGTGGTCTTGTGACCTGTACACTGACGTAGTATCACTACTGGTGCTTTTATGTGCTAAACACATTGCATTACGCTGCAACCATGACGCATATATTTTTTCACTTAAGTAGGTACATATCAAATTAAAATAATGAGGAATTCCTCCAGAAGGTGTACGCTACAGATAGTGTACTCGTACAAAGGGTGAACGCTACAGTGTACACCATACATTAACTTAGCGAATACTCAATAATGTCATTCATTATTCCATGACAGGCTCGGACTTGGCCGGAGAAACGGCAGCTGCTCTTGCCGCGGCTTCCATCGTCTTCTACGTGAGTTTGCATGCCTCTGGGCCACTGTATAAGTGGCCGCTCCAGGGCGTCACATATATATCGTATTTAATGGTTGAGATTTAATGCGATTTATGGTAGCACTAGAGATCATAGTACACATAAGATCCGAATATTACGCAATATCCTAGCTTCATGTCGAAACGCAGCATCATTACAGATATAACATTACGTAAGATCCAAGCCCTACCTTGGCATCATCTCAGTAACACCTCAGCAACATCAGGACAACGTCTTAGCATTACCCTGGTAACATCCTTGCAACATCGTCTCAGCACACAAGAACCAACCAAGTACCACAAATTCATCACCTGAAAAACATTCGTGCATCACCCAAACACCACCTAATCACCATTCTAGCATCACGCAAGCACTCAGAAAGCACCACGTAATAAGCTTTTCCAAGCACCACCCAATAAACAACCACCTCCCCAGAACTCCGACAACGCGTACTCGGTGCGTCTGCTTGATGCCGCTAAGGACCTCTTCGCCTTCGCCGACCAGCACCGTGGGAAATACTCCGATTCCATCCCCGCCGCCGCCAACTTCTACCAGTGAGTCTTGGGGCAAGTTGAGTGGTACTACGTGGGCATATAGGGGCTAAGTGAGAGAGCTTTGTAGCCCTACGTGGGTTTAACGAGGATTCATGTAGAAGTCACGCGGTCCAAAGGAAGACCAAAGAAGCTCTCATGATAGAGTTATTATTGTTTAGTTCTTTTGAAGGAGTTATTATGGAGGATTTGTGCTACCTTCAGGGATCTGTTTCACTTGTTTTTCATTTCCTTCTCATTCACTTCTACTCACATGCACATTCCTCCCTCTTCTCGCTCTTGTCAGACATGAGTGAGCACCACAATCCTCAACATTCATCTGATTCCCCGATGACCTTTCCCTCGCAGATCATTCAGCGGCTACCAGGATGAGCTGGTGTGGTCCGCGGTGTGGTTGTATAAGGCCACTGGAGACCAAACTTACGCTGACAAGGCCAAGTCCTTCTGGGACCAGTTCGGGACCGGCCAGTCCGGATACGGCTTCGGTTGGGACAACAAGAATTCCGGGGCAATGGTTCGTATACCTGAACGGTGGCCGATAAATAACAGTAATTCATAATTATAAGCAATATAATGATAACCCAATGATAATGATGATAATCCGTAGTAGGTAGTTCTTGCTTATTTTAATCGATTTACTTTCAAGGATGCACGTCGGCGTCAGAAATTGTCTTAAATAATGACCACTAAAATCATTATTAACTATAAATATCAGTAAGAAAAAAACTGAGTATATAGGGACCATTTAAATCAATATTGAAACTATGAAGGTAATGAGTAAGATTAACGATTTGATTGCTGCTACACAGAGGCCCCTTTGCTCCGGTGCAAATGTTAAATGGACAGTCATGAACGCTTTTGTGATGACGAAATAAAGTCGGTAATACGAACACGAAAACATTGGTGCTGTAGTTAACATGAACGAAGAAATAAATTTTGGTTACGTACAATGTCAAGATGACGCGAATTTCAGCCAGCATCGTCATAATCCACAGATTCGTTTGTAATAACAGTAGGGATTATGAACGACATTTTTCATATCTCATAAACACTGTCAAGTACTTAACATTTTGTAAATGTTAGCTCTTTTTTGAAGGTTTTAATTTCAATCTTAACGTTGAAGAAAACCAAACCAACATCAGCCTCTTTACCTGTAATCGTCAATAATACTTTAATTTCGTTAATTTCATCACCTCATATTTCCTCATAAAATATTAGCCTTGCATTTTATTTGAATCCTGAAACTATTCTTGTTCACATTCCACGCAACAACCATCTAATTTTCCTCCCCATATTCTTATCTCCCCTTAAGCCACAAGAATCTTTCATACCTCCTTGACCTCTGCAGTTGTTAATGCCTGAGGAGTTTGGCAACCCTTCACTCAAACTACCATAACCCTTCACACCTCCTCAACCCTGCAGGTGCTGATGCCTGAGGAGTTTGGCAACCCTTCACTCAAACTACCATAACCCTTCATACCTCCTCAACCCTGCAGGTGCTGATGCCTGAGGAATTTGGCAACCCTTCACTCAAACTACCATAACCCTTCATACCTCCTCAACCTTGCAGGTGCTGATGCCTGAGGAGGTTGGCAACCATTCACTCAAACTACCATAACCCTTCAAACCTCCTCAACCTTGCAGGTGCTGATGGCGGAGGAGTTCGGCGGTCAGTACACCAGCGCCCTGCAGAGCTTCATGAACGACATCCGCGGGTTCCCCACCACCCCTGGCGGGATGGTCTTCATCGATCAGTGGGGCTCCCTCAGACAGGCCCTTAACGTCGCCTTCATCGGCTTCAAGGTCTGGTCGTATGTTTATTTTACTATGTACAGAATTGGTGATGTGTCCTCTCTTCCATTATGATATTACTTTGTGAAGTAAATGTTAGGATGGACACAAATGTGTATGTGTTGGGATCAATAATATGTACCTGTCACTTTCTTTCATAGTTGAAGAGTGAATTGGATATAATTGAACACAACTGAAATGAAGTGATGAGGTGTGAATGCATCTATGTTCACACTAACAGTCCACAGCGAGAAAGCACCTAATGCTAGTAAGCCTGAGCCTGACTTTAATGGCGCGGACTTGACTTTCATCCTCTTCTCCGTCCACAGGCCGCTGACCTCGGCATCGACTCGTCCACCAACAGGGCGTGGGCGGCCCGTCAGGTGGACTACGCCCTGGGCTCCGTTGGACACTCGTACGTGGTGGGCTTCGGCAACAACCCACCCCTGCGACCCCACCACCGCTCCAGGTGGGTTGCCTATACATTCAACCATACAGTAACCCACCTCTGCGACCCCACCACCGCTCCAGGTGGGTTGCCTGTACATTCAACCATACAGTAACCCACCCTTGCGACCCCACCACCGCTCCAGGTGCTGTCTCTTATACACATCTAGATGTGTATAAGAGACAGACCATACAGTAACCCACCCCTGCGACCCCACCACCGCTCCAGGTGGGTCGTCTATACATTCAACCATACAGTAACCCACCCTTGCGACCCCACCACCGCTCCAGGTGGGTTACCTATACATTCAATCATAAAGTAACCCACCCCTGCGACCCCACCACCGCTCCAGGTGGGTTGCCTATACATTCAACCATACAGTAACCCACCCCTGTGACCCCACCACCGCTCCAGGTGGGTTGTCTGTACATTCAACCATACAGTAACCTACCCCACCACCGCTCCAGGTTGGTTGCCTGTACATTCAACCATACAGTAACCCGACCATTTGAAGGGTTCAGCTACTCATACATCTAATGAGCAGCAGGTTGGAGTGATTATTTTATATGTACATTTATTGTTTGCAAAAACAATATAGGCGTGTTGGCAGGTTTGTTGTTAAGTGCAAACTCGTGAGTTCTTTGAATAATTTCGACTAGATTAAACCATCAAGTATTCGAATATTCGTTAAACTTATTGTTTGTCACATCATTCAATCACCCGAGAGTTCATGCGTTATTATTCAACTTGTATCGCAAATATTGACGAAAACGTTGATACAACGTTGAAAAATATGTTGTATGAATTAAGATAACACAAAAAATCCACAACTTATTTCTCGCCATTATGCCCAGCTCGTGCCCCTACCCCCCCACCTCGTGCACTGATGGGTGGGCACAGAGTCAGTCTGGCCCCAACCCCCACACCCTCTACGGCGCCGTCGTCGGAGGCCCTGACCAGGTGGGTATTTATGACCCACTTCTCATGGATATGATACCGGCACAAGTTTTTAAAAAATATCTGTATACACTAATCAAAACTAATAGTTTTCTTTCGGTTATAAAAATGAATAAGAGCATATTGAGCGTTGGGATGAAATAAGATTATAACGTAGCCTAGCACAGCTTTGGTTGAAGATCGTGTGTTGTGTTTCTTTGTGTTGCGTCACTTCGGCTGCTACGGAACTCTGTATCATCTGATGAAGGTCACTTTAACATGTACGGCTTTAGAATACAAGAACATGGAAATTCCAGTACGGCTGTTGTCTGAGTAACAAATATCATGCGATTGCATTGAAGGTACAATTCGACTGCATTAAGTTGAAATCCACAATTACTGCTACAAAATAAAAGTCAGCAAAAATCCTCATATTCAACAACTGCTGTTGAATAAAGCGTAGAGTGAAACGATTTTGATTTAGAGTGAAACCTGTGACACTTGTTTAATTTTAACAATTTTAAAATCGCTCGGTGATGGAAATTCGTAACCGTTTGCTGCAGAATGACGGCTACACCGACGATCGTAACGACTACGTAAAGAACGAAGTGGCCTGCGACTACAACGCTGCCTTCACCGGCGACCTGGCGGCCATGATCGTCAACAACCTTTAATAACCTGGCAACAACCTCTGATGACCCGGCAACTAACCCTGATGACCCGGCAACTAACCCTGATGTCCCGACAACAACCTCTGATGACCTGGCAACAACCTCTGATGACCTGGCAATAACCTCTGATGACCCGGGAACCAAGGATGATGTAACTTGTAGTTTTAAATAAATTCAGGCGTTCATTATCTCCAGATTTTATTCCTACCTATAAATAAACATTCGTTAATATTTCTTGATCAATGGAGGCATCTAAAGACGCTTTAATAAACATTCTTCATCGATTTTTAGAGCATTTTCTCATTTATGGAAGAAATGCATTATTGTGCTTGCCATGTCTGTCTGTCTGTCTGTCTGTCCGTCCGTCTGTCCGTCCGTCTGTCCGTCCGTCCGTGACCTCAAATTTTCGTCGACGAGAAAATGCGCTCTCTGTCACTCACTGCTGTGAGTACTGAGTTATATTTTTTATCTATTGTGTTATATTCCACTATACACGCATTGCGTATATTACTAAATTACATAGATGCGTCTGAAGCATATTCGTGGATACCATTTCATGGGAGGTGAATTTCCGGACTTTTCCAATTATGACAAGACATATTTTATATTTATTCCAGACATGTGTTATATTTACATGAAATGTTCACTTAAAGCTGTGATGGGTTTTGAACAAACAAAAATATTGACTATAATTGTTTTTTGTCAGTTCATATTAAATTTGCACAACTGAATTTCATAGAAAAGACATTAAAAACCAAATTGTCTGTCAAATAGAAGGCGAGGCCATGGAAGATGAACATAAGGAGACAAACTTCTCTACCAGTAACTTGGAGTCATTTGAACTAAATTGTTATTTGTACTAAGATCCTGTTGAAAAAATTAAAGCGATTCTAAAATCGAAAAGTCGAACTCGCCGGAAGCTGAATTTTTGAAGTTAGTATCTTATACCGAGACGTTACCTGGTTCAGCATGAATGCGCGATAATCCGTAAGTGCCTGCATTATTTCACTGGCTCAAGCTCCTCCATTCACGAACTGGAGCACTTTTTTTGAGGGTTACTGCGAGTGTTCGTGTACCAAGCGAAATTTTGGAGTAAATTGTTCTTAAGCGTTACCTTTCGGGAGTCACGCTAGATTTGAGTTCCAATTATTTTCAATTGTTAAAAATTACCTTTTGGGAGTCACGCTCGATTTAAGTTCCAATTATTCTCAATTGTTAAAAATTACCTTTTGGGAGTCACGCTAGATTTGAGTTCCAATTATTCTCAATCGTTAAAAATTACCTTTTGGGAGTCACGCTAGATTTGAGTTCCAATTATTCTCAATCGTTAAAAATTACTTCTTCGGAGTCACGTAAGAATTGAGTGTCAATTGTACTCAAATGTCGCATTCGTGCAGTCAATCGAGATTTGAGTGTAAATTGTCCTTAAATATTATCTTTTTTGAGTCACAGTGAAACTACGCAACAAAAAATCGCCCGAAAATAAGATATTCGTTATCTTGTAGCGTAGCACCTTGAGCACATGCAATTGAGAAGCGCCACATGTGCAATTAAAGCAAGCAAAAAGTAGACATTCAATATCCGGTCGTCGCTCATCCATAAATATGCACAGGAATTTTCAGCGATGGTTGCGTTATATACGAATGTAATCATTATTGATGCGATTCAGCAGCGAACGGTGACAAGATTCATATTTAACAGTCCATCGCTCGGAAATTTCGAGCATCGGTGAAAAATAATTAAGAATTTTGAGTTCATTGATACCTGTTCCACGATTAATTAACGGTGCAGTTGACGCATTGAAAGAAATGACAGTGCTCGTTTTCAAAGCTTATGTTAAATCTGATGTTCAATTATAGTTGTGTGAGCGGAAAACTCATGGACAGAAAAGCGGAATGAATTTCATCAAAAGTTGATTGTATTATTAATTTTAGATGAGACGGGGGATGATTTACAGTGAACGACTATGCGTGCATCCTAATCTGTGATCAAATAAGTTCAATTCAAATAGCAACTCAGAACGACAGACGTGATAGCTGATGATACAATGCAGGTATTTGGATATTTTAAAATCGGAATGTTTTCGAAAATATATTGTTCTTACTTGAGAAACCCGATGCTGAAAAACTAGGGCATTTTATTAATCGAAAACAAAAAATAAACATGAACACCTACAAATTTCTGGATCATGAAAAAAATGATAGAATTAGTTTTGGGGCTGGTCCATGTCCGGTGATGATGAGATGAAAATTTTGACCACCGCCTACGCCACCGCATCATCATTGCTTCACGTTTGCTTCATAAAAACTTTTTTCCTTATACAAGATAATTTGTGACCTGGCTCTAGCAGCTCACCGTAAAATTCAAACAACACCCATACTTGCTGCACAATAATCTAGATGCAAGTAGTACTACATAGTGACAAGTAACATTTATTATTAGTTGTAGGTACGCGATCAGTTTCTGGTGGTATACGTACGGGGCGACGGATGTCTGCTGCTCATGCACTCACAAGAAATACGAGTTAATAAACTGAAGAATTTGCAGTGAAGGAGATAATAGGATAATAGGACAAATTCTGAATGCTTTATGGAAGAGTATTTTAGTGTTCAAAAGTCGATTTTATATTTAGTTTTATATGAAAGTTGCGTACATTGGAATAATGCATATTATAACTTTCAATAGAATTTTTGAAAGAATAAGTACCTACCTGTTTGTGCTAGAAACTGTTTGTGTAAACGGATCGGTCAGTCCGTAGATTGTTAAGAAAACGGTTGCTAATCATGGGATAGATAATAAACCCAATGAAGCAAAACATGCCAATTACTAAGCTGCTAGTTTGTATTTCATTTGCTAGCCTGCATGCTAGTTACTAGCCTGCACTCAGTTGCTAGCCTGTATTCCAGTTACTAGCCTGTACTCAGTTGCTAGCCTGTATTCCAGTTACTAGCCTGCACTCAGTTGCTAGCCTGTATTCCAGTTGCAAGCCTTCACTCAGTTACTTGCCTGCATGCCAGTTACTAGCCTGCATGTAGTTGCTAGCAACAATAATTGGGGCCAATATGTTGCAATGCGATTGTTCATTGACATGACAATAACCCGAGAAATTACGTTGTCGACGGACGATTCGAAAGAAGATCCTCCTATATTGACAGTATAGTAAAAAATTGCAGAAGAAGCCAGTGAAAATAGAGAGCCTATCTATTGTTGAAGACCGTTCGCTGAGTGAAGCTAAGAGTTATAAGTGCAGCAAGTTGCCGATGGGATAAATAAAGCTCTGACAAGTTATCATAATTATGAAAAAGTGAAAATTCATTATGAAAATTATGAAAAGTGAAGTGAAAGTGAAATATCATAATTATGAAAAAAGTGAAATTTATGAAAAAGTGAAGAAGTGAAAAATGTGAGAAGTGAAATTTATGAAAATTCGATTGCTAAAAATGACACTGCATTTGCCAGACAGTTTACAGTAAACCGTACATGAAAAGTTTTTAAAGTAGCATATAGAGGAAATATAGAAACGCCGGAAAAAACGCACTAATGGTTAATGAAACACTAAATTAAGAACAATAAAACACCACGTATTAATGAACCAGGTGATATGTGCAATGATTATGGTAAAATATTCTAATATTTATCAGAATCACAGAGTGTAATAAAATTGAGACCATGTACTTTCTTGAGAGATAAAATTTTGTTTGGATATTTCGATGCGCCAGGCGACCTTCGCCGCCCCAGTCCGCAGGACCGTCTTAAGCTGTCACTCGCACCTTTTTCCTATTAGCTCTGTGTGCTAGCCATTTAGTTAGGCTAGGCATTTCAAGGTTGGGTTGGGATCGTTCAAGTTATATTGTAACTATCTGCTACTGGCTGCACACACACAGGAGAGCGCCACGGTGGGGTTTTGTGTGTGTGTTGTTTATGGATTGTCGTGGCTAGGGAAATAGAAAAGTGTGAACAAATAAGTAATAATAAAAAAATTGTCGCCTGTTATCTGGTTTCTGCAACGATACTGTGAAAAATACTCTAAAGCATACATATAATTGAGGAGAGATAGATGAACCTCTCAAAACTGTTTTATCTGAACATTTTGATTTGAGTATTTAATACGCTGACAATTTGCGATGGCTGTGCAAAATTGTTTGAACGGTTCAAAAAACTGAATGTGATTGAGGGGGTGAACCGTCAAACAGATTTTCAGCTAAATAAGAAACATTCTTCCTAAGTTTATAAATTCATCTTGCTCATCTGTTTATAATCTCGGTTAATAAAACTTAGAGCTAAAGTATTATAGGAAATCATTGAAAACAAAAGATTATCAATTCATTCTATATGATGTATTCACGTTTCGGCTTAGAGAAGTCATTTCATCTAGTCGAGTGTGATTAGCTCATTAGAAAGATTCGAAAATATAGAGTAATTTATGATGGAAGTAAATTATAGTTAATAGGGAGTAGTTTATTCACACACTATTGTCATTCGATGCAGCCTGTGAGGAGGAAAAGAAAGTTGATGAAATTTCCTTTAAAAATGGAAGACTTAATAACAGAGACAGGAAGATGTGATATTAAAATTTGGAAATATTAAGCTGTATATTGTGTTGATAATATCTTTTATGATATTCGCCATCTCACCACCGAAATAAATCAGCTTTTAATTCAAGTGAATATCTTAGAACAAACATTGAAAAGGAGTTTGGAAATAAAACTTTAATAAATGCTTCATAAGTGGAAAGGCGATAATGGAAAGAAACAGAAGAACCATTCTGCATTTCCTTCTCCAAGTTTGAGGTATCTCATAATTGAAAGACAGCTGCGGAGAAACGTCGTTGATACTGAAGTTGCTATTGGAGAACTTTATTGATTACAACAACCTTTTCTTTCACAACAACCTTTCATCAGTCTAAATGCAAGTTATTGAAAAATTCTTTCGAAAAGGATATAATAGATCTGAAATCATAGATTTATTTTCCAACGGCAAGTCAATATTGGCGAATATCCTCAGTACCTGACCTAAGCGACAAAGTTACTCGGAAGAAAACGTTGTTTATTTCTAATGATATTGATACGGAAAATAATCAAAATCCTGCTGATAGTTTTTACACCCGTGTAAGACACAATAACTGCAGTTCAATTTACTTGTTTCAAAACTATCACATACTACCAAGACAAACCATTAGAACGAATCTAAATCTAATAATCCTATTTGAGTTCAATCCCATTCACCGAGATGAAGAATATTCACAGTGATTACATTGCTTGCGATGTGCCCTATGCAAAGTTCCAAGGACTGTGTAATAAAACTTATGAGGTACCATATAGTTTTGTGTTAATTAATAGAGACGAGCACCCTGGTTCTGGAAAGTATTTTAGGAATTTAAATCAATTATTTATTCCAAAGAAGTATCATCATCAACCATCGTGACACTCGCTCTAAGTCAATTCCTGTTTTTTTAGTAACGGATAGTTTACAGACTTTACTGACGGCGATGGTTTAAAAAAATAACGTGAGCGCTCGGTAAGGTTTCGATTGCGGGACAGTGCTCAACCAAATTTTGATGGCCAAGATTCGACGTAAGATTGTGGGTAAATGGTACGTAACCTGGGATTTAAGCTGTTTATGCAAACTGTGTCTATAGCCCATCTTTCTTTACTAATCTTGTCTCTTAAATGTACTTGTATTCTCCAGCTTCTTTGGCGAGGTCCTCAAGAAAGGTCAAGTGTTCCACAGCGAGAAGCACGATTTGATTTGATCCCGCACTTCAGGTCATACTTAACTAAAGATTACAGAAGCTGGACGGCAATTTACCATAGAGGCCATCGAAAACTGGTGGGTCTTGACTAAACAGAGGGCCGGTGGAGAGGGAGGGGAAGAGGTGTACTGGTGGCGAGATCACTACCACCACGACCACCACAACCACCACGACCACCGCGGCCACTACCACCACTACCACTACCATCACTACCACTACAACTACGACCACTACTATACGACCACCACAACCACTACCACCATAACCACAACCACTACCACCACAACCACTACCACCACGACCACTACAACTACGACCACTACTATACGACCACCACAACCACTACCACCATAACCACAACCACTACCACCACAACCACTACCACCACCACCACTACCGCCACAACCACTACCACTCCGCCCCTCCGAGCAGACATAGCGTCGTTATTCCATTTTGTCTCGTGGTGGCAGCGTTTGGTGCGATCAGGGCTTGTTTATCTCGAGCCTAAAGTTTCTATGGCCTATTGCCTAGACGAGCCTAACTTTGCTCGTCTGCTGCAGTCATTTGATTCTGAAAAATGACTTTGCTTGAGCCAGAATCTGCCTTGAAGATGCAAGCGCCTTTAACATCATTTTAATCCTAGGCTTCGTTGGCTTCCTAAACTGGTTCTGCGTTGAAGCTGCGTTTGTCTGCCTTTACCTGTTGGCTGATGCCGAATGTATTAGTCTCAAAACTGTATTAGTCTCAATTTTATTATTTGTTGATTTTACAGAGAAGGGCAGTAGTTGTAATTCTCAAAAAACTCGACACTGCGAACATTTTTTTTATTTCATCCAATTGCATCATAGTCTGTCATAGTCACGTTGACGCCTTTTCACGTCACTCCGATGCGCACACTGCATGGGTTATACCCACTTACTCCAGGCGAGTGACAAACATTCTGAATAATTTTGTACAAATCTATTTGATATTCAAGAAAGCTATATATTTAATTTGTTTAAAACCGTGTGCCGCAAATATATTTGGCTCTTCGGGCGTGTATATTCGTTGCCTACCATGAAGCAGTTCATTCCCGTTGCATCGTAAGCGCGCACGTATTACGGCCCGCGGTCGTCCTTCATTCCAATCCTTATTCTGCTTCAAAGGGGAAGTCAACGTCATCGAAGAGTAAGTCAAAGTTATCGAAGAGTAAGTCTAAGTCTCCGAAGAGTAAGTCAAAGTTATCGAAGAGTAAGTCTAAGTCTCCGAAGAGTAAGTCAAAGTTATCGAAGAGGTAGTCAAAGTCTCCGAAGAGTAAGTCTAAGTCTTTGAAGAGGAAGTCAAAGTCTCCGAAGAGTAAGTCAAAGTTATCGAAGAGTAAGTCCAAGTCTCCGAAGAGTAAGTCAAAGTTATCGAAGAGGAAGTCAAAGTCTCCGAAGAGTAAGTCAAAGTTATCGAAGAGTAAGTCCAAGTCTCCGAAGAGTAAGTCAAAGTTATCGAAGAGTAAGTCAAAGTCTCCGAAGAGTAAGTCAAAGTTATCGAAGAGTAAGTCCAAGTCTCCGAAGAGTAAGTCAAAGTTATCGAAGAGGTAGTCAAAGTCTCCGAAGAGTAAGTCAAAGTTATCGAAGAGTAAGTCCAAGTCTCCGAAGAGTAAGTCAAAGTTATCGAAGAGGTAGTCAAAGTCTCCGAAGAGTAAGTCTAAGTCTTCGAAGAGGTAGTCAAAGTCTCCGAAGAGTAAGTCAAAGTTATCGAAGAGTAAGTCCAAGTCTCCGAAGAGTAAGTCAAAGTTATCGAAGAGGTAGTCAAAGTCTCCGAAGAGTAAGTCTAAGTCTTCGAAGAGGAAGTCAAAGTCTCCGAAGAAGAAGTCAAAGTCATCGAGGAGTAAATCAAAGTCTTCGAAGAGGAAGTCAAAGTCGACTGAGATTAACATTTATACTGTTCCAAGCTTCAGGGTTAAGACTAAGTTTCGAGTTCCGGCTCTAAACTTTTTGCTGTTAAAAAAACAAACTGAGAATTCTAAGGAATATTGTTGAATTGCACACATTGATAAGGTAGGTACAACGAATTCATATTAAAACAATACAAAAATTACATTTATTCTCGATAACACTTCAAAAGCCTACACTGAAATTTATACGAGCGCCTAGGTCACGACTCTGCACGACGCAATTTAACACTCATACAGCACGCACGTAAACGCTTATATATGTTTCCTCTAAACTAAAATTATAGAATTTTTATTTTATTTTCAAACCATAACCACATATTCATTCTGAATAATTTACGAACTATCATCCCTGAATAATTTACATCCTCTCTCAAAATAATAATAATACCTACTTATGCCAATTTTATTTTATTTTTATTTTTATTTTTTATTACTTTGGGAGTCTTTTACAATTACTTTGGGAGTCCGTACTCATTCAGACCATCGTCTTAAGTCATCTAATGACCAGTCTTGAAGTATTCCTGTTTAGAAGCATTTAATAATTTACTATTTTGATTTAGATCCGTATAATCAAAATTATTAAATTATTTTGACCAATTTTATTTTAATTCCATTTTACGCATCTGTTCTGGAAAAAGGCTTAACACAAACACAATCTGAGAGCTGAACAGCATCAGCTGCTGTCCTTATCGATACAGAAACTGAATCTTTGTATTAATAACAGCAGCGACTGAAGCTGCCTTTGATACAGAGACTTCATCTATGCATCAATAACAGCAGCAGCTGTTGTTATTAATGCAAAGATGCAGTCGCCGTCCCGTAACAATGGCATGCCTAATGAGCTCGACGAAATGTTTAACGATTTCTTTATTTCTCATTAGACTGCAGTTTTGTGTAATATTAGAACACAGGCCTAACTAATGAGGTGGCCAACTACTTGCAGCTGCATCTCATTACCTGCTTGACATTTGTTGCTTGCAGCTGCTGCACCTGAAGAAACTGTTGTTACTGAGGCAACTGTTACAGATGCTTCAGTTGTTTTAGCTGCTGCAGCTGTTTAAGCTATTTAGCCGTTAACACTTGCTGCAATGTTTAAAAAGTTTGCCGGCTGGGCAGGTGTTGGGACTTGTGCAAGTATTATATGTATCCTGAGGTATTATAAACATATAATTTATGATACTTTTGTATGATATTTCCTTTATTTTTGCCGTTTTTAATACAATACATGAAAATGGTGAGTATGATACTATTTTCAAAACCAATAGTCACTCAGACCTGTTATGAATCACATTACACTAAATAATAAGCAGGCTCATTAATTAACACGATAATTGATAAGCTTCAGATGATCATTGATAGACACAGAATTTCTGACATTCACTTGTCGTTCTCTGGATCCTTCACTAGAACATTCACTAGATTATTCACTAGGCCTAACAGATCATTCGCTAACTAGATCATTCGCTTCATCATCAACTAGATTATTTACTACATCATTCCATACATCATACACTAGATTATTCACTAGATCATTCACTACATCGTCCACTAGATTATTTATCAGATCATTCACTACATCGTCCACTAGATTATTCACTAGATCATTCGCTACATCATTCACTAGATTATTCGCTCGATAATTCGCTACATCATCCACTAGATTATTCACTAGATCATTCACTACACAAACCACTATATTGTTTCTTCACTAAATCATTCGCAGATCATTTCTTATTCAGGACGATCGAGACAACAGTGAGCAATGTAACAGACCGTCCCTCTTGTGATCTTGATCTAGCGCAAGATCTAGCGCAAGATCTAGCGCAAGATCTAGCGTCTTGTAGATCATGCAGTGATGAACGATCGGCCATATTGCTTCCCGGACAACAGTGCCTCTTGTTCAGTGTCCTTATGTCTAATGGTCGTACACTAGTTACGGAGCACGGCGAATAACCTGCCGCTAGTTACGGTGTAAAGCGAATAAACGGCAGCTGTTTACGGTTCTCAGCGAATAACCTGCCTCTAGTTACGGTGATTTGCGAGTAACGTGCCACTAATTACTGTGCTCCTTGAATAACCTAGCTGTCACTAGGTTATTCACTGTCGTTAGTTACGATGTTCAGCGAATAACCTGACACTAGTTACGGTGCTCTGCAAATGATCTGTTACTAGTTAAATTACACTGCCCCTACTTACCGGACTGCAGATATTCCGCCTTTATAGTTACACAATATTTCACTATTCTTGGCTTCTAGAAACACTAGTCACGTACAAATATGCGTAAATTTACGTTACACTTCTACTTGTATGCGATAATTGTTCTACACTTCAAGTTTCAGGATAGTATTAGCATTACACTGCAACTTGTTACGCGGCGACAGACACGATACTGTTATTTGAGATGGGTAAGAGCACATTTTAAGTGGGTTAGAATTATATGCAAATTGACTAATTTAGGAATTCACGTTGACAGGATTCCTGTCAACAAGGCAAGTTGACTAAGTCAACAAGACAAGTTGATTAAGTCAACGAGACAAGTTGACTAAGTCAACATGACAAGTTAATAACACAACGTATCGCTTTTCGATCCAAAAATTGCCGAGTTTACCTACAGTTCCTCGGGTTTGGATGTAATATTAGAATGACTTTTTCTCGAAAAATAGGAGAATTGCAAATAAAGAATGATATAGAACTAACAGTCGCATAATGTTTGAATAACGAACCTCAAAGTAGAATTAATTTAACAACTATGGCGGACTCGCATCATAGGTATCCGTTCTTTAACAAAGAAAACAAACAATAAATAACAACCATCAATTATTCACAGGAAAATGCATATTAATTAATACATTCATACGAAATGAGCATTCAAGAACTCTACGTACGATGTCAGTGAATTTTTCATCAGCGTTGAACGAACGCCATCCCGTGTTGGCGGCAAACGTTAAACTGTATCCCAGATACTCAACTGCTGTACGTAGTGGCGGTATCCCAGATACTCAACTGCTGTACGTAGTG